GGTTGACTCCAGAAATAGGTGAGCTGATTGATGTATGCCGCTGCACAGACAGGTTTGGGGGCCGCGCGTATCGACTTTGGGGGACTTTGTTGGAAATGATGTAAAGGGTGGATGCAGTGATGTGTGCAACAGACGCAGGGTCAGCTGACGATGACTCGCCAAATTATGCCGGTGGGATGTGTGGCAAAGGCCTTCCTGATGCAGTTCATAACAACGAATGTTGAGCCAGCTAATTCCGTCAGCGAGAGGGTTTATTGTTGCATGGACTCAAAAGTTGAAAATACTGCAATTTCGAATAGCTTGACTTTTTTTAAATATAAAGAAGTACGTTGTGGGCTCGAGAATGGATCAAAAGTGATGGTTGCAGCGAGAATAGGTGAAGCAGAATTTCACACGGGTTAGGGAGGTGTTCTGAGATACCATTCTCACGACTGCACTGCACGGTTTAGCGCGAGTGTCAGTTAGATGCGCGTAGATTTAGAACGGTGGCATGACAACTACGCCCCCCCTATTTTGGCAACATCAACGACAACGACAAGGGCAAGGCAAAGTCGATTGAAAGCTTTCATGCCGGATGAACCCAGCAAAGTACAGTGCGTGACCGATCTCATGAAATGCTGGCCAAAATTCTGAAATACGTTCTCGATTAGGAAGGATTAACAAGGTGGCGTTGTAGCATTAATTATCCTGTAGCATAATGCTATGGAATTTCGGACTTGTCAGGATGTTGGCTTTTGAATGCACGTCTTTCTGACCTCCACAGAAACCCTACTCGGCAAAACATGACTACTTAGGTAGCATGTATTTTTCATATTGATTCTCGATGGGCGTACAAATTCGAATATATTTTATCGAAACCATGCACAAAATATGGTTTTTTTACTTGTTTGGTAGAAGACCACATTATATTCACATTTTATACTCAAATAAAAGGTATATTTAGGTTTTAAAAAAGTTCCCCAATTCCTGAATAATTTTGAGTTTGGTCAGCCTTTGCATTAGCGTTTAGCGATTTCAGTCCACAAGTTGCATTCGTTCCGCGTAAGGAGAATCATACATTCCTTTATGCCTTTAAGAAGAGACTATAAAGAGTTCAAAAATTTTGCAGTGGATACGGGCTGTGTTGTGCATTTCATGAGGAACATTGGTAAATAGACACGTGCGATGCTGTATGTATGGACATCGCACGGTCTTAAAAACTTCATAATTAGAAACTTTTTAAAACCAAAAGATAACCTTCCTAGGACATAAAATATAAAGACTGTGATTTTCTACCAAACGTGTAGAAGAATGCATATTTTGTGCATGTTTTTCATAAAATATATTCGAATTCGTACGACCATTGAAAATCAATATGAAAAATACATGCTACCTAAGTAGTCATGCCAGACGAACCCAGAAATCTATGACTGTGATCTGATGACAGCGGTAACAGACTCTACGTACCTGTGTGTGCACGCTGAAATCGGTTGATTTACAGTTTTTTGGGGAAGCTGGGACGGGGAGAACTTAATTTGCCTTAGGAACTCTCTCGATGGGTTTAAGTGACTTTGAGTGCTTCAACGAAGGTGACCCGGTGCAGTGACCACGATCGGTGGGAATGCCTTCAAATTCATTCGAGAGAGAGAAAGATGGAGAGAGACTTTCACTTACAAATTCTCCATTGCACGTCATATTAGTGTGGTTTTTGATATGCGTATCTTTCACCTGCTAACCACTCAGTATTGATGTCTCTTAGGAACTATAAATGCAGTCAGTGAAACCCGACTCGCCGAGATAGGACTGTCGGAATCCATTTATAGACTACTTAAATAACTTTGGTGACTTGTAGAGTCTAAGCGGTGAGAGTACTCAGAACGCTACAATCATCAGGCTATACGCCGAACTGCAGGGAAATACATAAGTCACCACAATAAAATTAGCGCCTCTGGAACCGCTCGACGAAAGGGTGAATGACCTTGAGACCTGTATCAGATTTGGTGGATTCCGGACGTCGCAGTAGGTTGGGCGAGTAACTTGACCCAAATGTGATTAAACTCGCGTCGCTCGTCGGCTAGAGCCTTGGCTGTACTAAAGTCTCCTCTTACTGTGTGGGCTCGAATCCTACCGAGGCACCGAGTTTTACACAGTTGGTTCAAAACGAATTATTTAAAATCTGCCGTAACACCTATGAAGACAGCGAAATTTTGAGCGACGACAACAGTCCTGGAAAGGTATCAGAGCGACCCTTGCTGTTTTGCTGTCTTGAAACATGTCTCGCTGGAGTGAACCAGACATGAGCGTAATCGCAATGCGCAGTCGGGTAAATGCTATTAGTGTCATAGGACACTAGCATCTGCACACAATAATACTCAGGTGTGTAAAGTAGGTAGAATAACTCATGAAATGTCAACCGAAATTACGAAATGCGTTCTAGTTTCGAAAAGATTAATTAAGTATAGTTGTAAAAATAATCATCATCCAGCATAATTCTATAATAATTCAGTTACCCCAGGATGTCGGCTTTCCAGCAAACGTCTTTTCGACTGCATACAAAAACCACACTCTCTGGAAAATGACTACCTAAGTGGCATGCATTTTCCTCATTGATTTTCCATGTCACTAAAAATTCAATTATGGTTCATGGAAAGCATGCTCAAAATTCATTCTTTTCCCATTTGGTAGAAAATTACGTCTTCCTCCAATCTTATACCCAAAAGAAGGGTAATATTCGGTTTTCAAAAACTTTTCTAGTTCCCGAACTATTTTGAACAGGAACTGACGTTACATTTGCATTCAGATGTTTCTAAACTGCAAGCTGTGTATTTTCCGCGTACGGAGAACGACACATTTCTTAAAGGTATTAAGGGGAGACCAGATGAGGTTCATAAAATGTAGCAGTGGATTTGATCCATATTGCAAACTTCACAAACTTTATAATGGTCCAGTTACTTTTAGGGTTACTTCTTTCGAACGAACTTATTTCCGACTGCATGCAAGAACTACACTCGGCAAATAATGATTACATAAGTAGCATGCTATCTTTTCTCATTGATTTTCGATGGCCTTACATTTTCAATTATATTTCATGAAAAAAATGCATAAAACTTCCACTCTTTTATTTATTCGGCAGAAACGTACGTCCTCTTTTAATTTTATACTCGAAGGAAGATTATAATTCGGTTTAAAAAGTTTATAATGGTGGGTCTTTTTAATACCGTGAAATGGTCGTTAATGAAACGTCATCCATTGACCAATGTGGCTTGTAAAGTTAACAATATTGCTCAAGTCCAGTGCCAAATTTTATGAACCCCATATGGTCTACTGTTAATACCCTAGAAAAACGTATGGTTGGCTGTACACGGAAAATATACTATTTGTAGTTTTGAAACCCCTGAATGCTAGTATAACAGAAGGTCGGATTCAGAATTATTCGGGAATTAGAAAAGTTTTTTTTTACAACGGAATTATACTCTTTCTTCGAGAATAAAATTAGAAGAAGACGCGATTTCCTACTGAATAAGTGAAAGAATGAATATTTGTATGCGTTTTTTCCACGAAATATAATTTAATTTTTAAGGGCATCGAAAATTAACGGGAAAATTGCATGCTGCATAAGTAGTCCTTTTTTCCGAGTGTAGTTCTTGAATGCAGTCGGAAAGAAGTTCATTCGAAAACCGGCACCCTGATGTAACTGGATCATTATAGAATTATGCTGCATGTTGATAAGTTTTATAACACTACTTTATTAATCTTTTCGAAACGAGAACGCATTTCGAGATTTCGGTTGAAATTTCATGAGTTAGCCCACCTACTATATGTATCAGCCATTGGCCTACATCAGGTCACGTAGTAGATGAGGAGGACCAACACGCGGCGAAATCAGGATACTGCAGGAGTTATTTGGAGATGCGAGTCCATAACGATCGCCATACATAGAGAGTGTGGTAGTACACCTAGGCGCAAACGCACGCCGCGATAGCTATGTGTGCCGACCCCGCCTCCGACATTCCGGACTCCTTCATGGAACCGGGCTTAGGTGTATGAGGGGAGCGGGAGTGCGGTATATACGGAGGCACCTACCAACCAAATTAATTATTCATTCTGACATATGAATTGTCATCACAACTTTGAGTCTGTAAATGCACCAGCCTGGACCATCAAGACTTGTATGCTCTCTGTTATTTTTTGAAATTAAATGTTCATGACCTTCTAGCTCACAGATTTGGCACATTTCAAATTTTTATTCACTCATTTGCAACTAATCTCTCTTTATTCCGCCCTGGGATGAAGTTTTGTGTTCAGCTGAGGTGACTGTGAACGCAGCCCAGTCCATGTGACAATAACACCGACCCTTCGTGACACTAAGAATCGTCTAGACTGAGCGTTACGATTAGCTCCATACCGGTCGTCAGGTGTGCCTCATTCAATTGGCCCTGCGATACCGTTGGCTACGCAGTAGATTTCTGTAGACGAAACACATCTCGCCAATTTATAAACTTATGTACGCTGGCCTTCAAACCTCAAGCATCCTCCATAATCTGGTTCTTTGACTTCCGATTCCGAAATATTGTTATGCCAGTCCTCGCAATCGCCAGGTAAATTAGGATCGTAAGGACGACTTTTATTCATGCCCACGTGTGCCATCAGTACCTTTGAAACACTACTTTAATTCTCTAATATTAGCTTCCGTCGCCTTGACTTGCCGAAGGCACCCAGCTCCCACATTAAACGTGAGGTTTTCGATCCGAGGGTGGTTTGCAGCGTGTTGTTATTCTGGAGATTGTGCCAAACACCCTCGTATTAGAGTTCTTTTTTAGATGCGGCATGCCTATGTAACTTTTAGCTACATATCGCCTAGTCCTTCTCCACCGGGGCATGTATCGTAATAAAGTTCTGTTCCTGATGATTTATTGTTGTTTGGCCTCTGTAAAAGGAAAAATAAATCTCAGTTCGAGCAAAGAAATGCAACGGGTGCAGCTTCAGTAACACCCATGTGCAGATATTTCCCGTCCTTCCTGCTACCTCTCGCCCCCACCTCCTCCTCCTCCTCCTCCTTCTCCTTCTCCTGCCCCTCTTTTCTTCTTCTTCTTCTTCTCTTCCTCCTCGTCCTCGTCCTCGTCCTCGTCCTCCTCCTCCTCCTCCTCGTCCTCGTCCTCGTCCTCCTCGTCCTCCTCCTCCTCCTCCTCCTCATCCTCCTCCTCCTCCTCCTCCTCCCTTCCCGCTTCGTTCCTACTCCTCTTTCTGATTTTTTGTCTAATGGCTTTTAAACGTGGACCACGATGTCAACCCAGGAGTTATTTTCAAGTGACCAACAATGCTATAAAATCTAAACCTCTGAAAAGACGTGATATAGGGAAACGGTCCCTCAGTCAACTTGAAATACCGACGTGGGACTGTTATAAAGATGGCAGAAGTAAATGGGCCTGAACGGAGAATGCTGATTAATATCTAATCGTTTGCTTGGTACATGAAGAATACGGGATATCGACCACCTCATGCGACGACATCTACCAAGAACCCCAAAGATCTGGCGCGGACTTGCGCAGCCTCAGTCACACACACTCTCCCTCTCCTCATCCACATGGATGCGAGGAAAGTGCGATACCAAGACAACCGGAGGTGGGAAAGAACGCAGTGGCTGAAGGAGTCTACGGTATAAACAGACTGGGGGACTCACCGTAGCCCGACAAATACATGCCATGAGTCAGTTTGCCTCATCTTTTGGTCTACTGCATTTGTATCATAGTCTGTGCCCGGGGAGCCAGGGTATAGCGGACACTACGATAGACAGGCGTCCTCGTGACTGTGCATACCGAATCGCTCCTCAAGCGGACCACGCGGTAGATGCGCTGGACTAACACGGAGGCCGCATCGAATTCTGGCAGGCGTTGTCGGCAATGCGCGCGCATAACAAGTGTCAACATTCGGGGTACAGTGGCATGTCCAGCTGCAAGCTTACGCCGTGCCAATTGAGATCCCTGCCACCTCCCCATATTTGGTATTACAGAAAATCTTGATCATGCTTGTCGTGGTATGGAAGGTGCGGGGGTGCGCCTAGGTGCAGCTTTTCATCCTGCCAGCCATCCGAAGCCTTCCTCGCCTCTGGTCTCCTTGAGTTGGTCATGACGTGGCCAGAGAAGGAGAGGGGAGAGTGAGGTAGGCGTTGCGAAAGTCCCACATCATTAAAAATGGATTCGTGCGCAATTCACCGTCCCTGCTCTCATCCTGCTGTAGAGTACGTGGCAGAGGGCATCAGAATCGACGACCGAACTGTCGTACATACTGAATAAGGTGCCCAAATGGCTGTATGTCATGGTCAGATAGGGGACACTTCCATCGTCGGTAGAATGCACTGTCTCGGTGGCTTGAAGCTGCGATTCGCTACTGGTCAGGATCATCGACAACGCAAAGTATAAATAATCCCCCCGGGATTAACATTAGCCATCACTAAATTCCTGTAGTCCTTTACTTCGGTAGGTGGACTGCTGGAACTAGGCTTATTTCAACCTGCTTGAGCCTAACTCTGCGGTTGACTGATAGCTCACTATCTATCGAAATATTCTTCAGGTCTTCAGGTACAATGACTGAAGACGTGTTTGTTGTAGCAGTACTGAACTCCAAGGGAGGGTGACGAAGAAGACGTCTAAATCACCTAAGCCGTATCATCTTGCTGACTAGGGAGACCCTCTAGTTGTTGCCACAGGGAGGACATAGTGGGATCGAAGGGCGAGGTTAGAGCACTTGATTTGATAGTCAGCAGTTTGTGAAAAACCCAAAAATATCAACCCTCTCAGACAAAGACAGCGCATCATTCAAAACTTGTCATAAATAGGGGTGATACACGCCGCTGTGACGTCGCGAAGGATTAATGGACATCTTTGGAGGACCTACGAAAATCCCGCCATAGAATCGACCAGGGCGTCGAAGTTACATCTGTTCTACCTGTTTAAGTGACTACTAGCCCCGATCTGCTTGAGTTTGTACCTCTCTTAACAGATGGACATTAGTAAAAATGGATGTCTTCAACCGTTCGGGCATTCTTTTTGCAAATATTCCGGTTCTCACAGTACTGGCGAGCCCTTCAACTGATTTCACATACCCATACACGTGAGACGACGCAGTTCTGGTCCTGAATTGCAGTCCGATTGATCCATTTCTTTAAGCCATCGTTCATGTGTAGTTGACTGCGCCACAACCGCCAACGGGATCTTTGAAGATTCAAAAAATGGCATAGGTGAAACAGGTATTCGACAGGTTGCAAACGGATTGGTGGAGGCTGTCGGACCATATCACATGTAGCTCCCCTGACACTTGCACGGTAAACGATAGATCGGAGCTTTCCTTCCTTCTAAGTCAGTGTCTTGCTGGGTTGCCATGACTCCCATGGAATAACGTCTAAACTCCGGCCAGGTAACTTGAGACTTCTGTGCCAGGGAAGTGTCAGTCCTCGTATTTCCGTTCCATATACATTTTTAAAAAGAGCAATGGCTCACAATTTACTGAGGTTCGGCGGATTATTCACCTCGAATGACGACGCGTGAGTTATTAGTGTTGCGGAAATTCCTATTGGAAAATTCCGAAGGCAGTTTGGCGAGCATACGTCCGCTTTCGGTAGATTCTCTTCAGGCCTGCACATTCAAATGCCTATTGAAGTAATGAATTAAAAGATACGGACAAGTAGGTAGTTATGCCGTAAATCGGGCTTGGGGAGTGGATGGGAGGGGAAGTGTAAAGCACCAAAATTCCAGCCAGCGCCAGTGAGAAGGTGGGTGCCGGGGACGGTAATTATATATGGGTGGCTGGTTTGGTGGTTTTGACGCATGGCAACTGTGGGACCTTTATGAAGAGCTTTTGTACGCCTAGAACCGGTCCGCGTAGCCTGATTGCAGCCGCCTCCACCGTACCCAACAGGCGCTGTTCAAGTAGTTTTGGATAACTTGACGGGACATTGTGAATCACTGTGAAGGCCTCTCTGGCGTCTACACGGTGCTCTGTGTCTACCATGTGGGCGAGGATAAAGCTGATGATGCTCTTTATTTGACCATTTCTTAACCATGCTTGACGATGTTCTTTTATTCTTTTGGACAAACGCCAGCTCGTGCGACCAATATCATCTGCCCCACGGGAGCAGGTGATAGCGTAAATACACATAGAAGTGGTCTGCGTTGGCAGTTTGTCCTTGCCCTCTCCGTTTAGGATGGAATTAGTGGAGAGAGTACATGTGTGTCAGCTGCTGGAAAGATCTGTGATACAGCTCGAGTTAGGCGTCTTCTTAAGAGTTCACTTGGCGCGTCCCCTTGAAATAGGATCATGATTAAGAGCCTTTTTTTTCCTACCGTTAGCATCGGGGGCTTTGGTGGTCTTTCGACGATCATCTAGCAATTAATCTATCAAGATACCCATCCTGGCGGAGAAAGCTTTCGATGATCTTAAGCTCTTCCTCAGCAGTATCAGCTGAGCAGATCCTTCTCACTCTTTAGCGGATTAAATTACGTTTAACGTTTAACGGTGGGAAATTCCTAAATTGGGTTATTGTCCGGACAACATTTTCTTACGATTGACGCTAGGTCTAATGCTGCCGTCAGGTCTTCTACTCAGAGGCACATCCAGAAAGCGACGTGAACCGGACTGTCCTTCTCCCAGAGTGAATTTGTTTTATGGGTGTTCCTGATTTATATCATTCAGTAGAATTAAAATGTCACTTTTTTCGGTTCACTTGCGAATATATCATCCAAGTACAGCCCATAGTATCTGAGACCTTAGCTGGAAAGCTAATAGCCCGCCTATGAAAAAATTTGGTCAAAAGCGGGTCAAGGGGCGAGCTCATAGCTATACCGTCCATCTGTCTTTATAGATTGTTGTCAAATAGGAACTGCGAACTGGTCCTATGCGCACAGAAACTCTTCATACAGGTCCCACAGTTGCCATGGGTCAAAACCACCAAGCCAGCCACCCACATATAATTACCTTCTCTGCGGCCCAACTTCTCACTTGCGCTGACTGAAATTTTAGTGTTTCGCCCTCCCGTTTCCCTTCCCAAACCCAAGCTACGACAGAATTAACTACTCGCCCGTATCTTTTAATTCATTACTTCAATAACCATTTAGATATAGGAACCTGAAGTTAATGCTGTATTGAAATAAATTGAGGCGTGGTACTCAGAGACGCAGCACCTAGGTTCACTGATCTTGTCTTGCTTTATTTGTTCTGTTGTAAGTATTCGAAACAGTCGATAGACAAGTGTGGGCAGAATGGTATTACCGACAAAGACAAGGAAGACTGGAATGGCCATTTCTGGCTTATTAGCCGTCGTCAGCCAGCCATACCCAAGCCCGAAGTGCGGAACACCCGAGCCTCGAACTCGCGACCTGTGGATCTGAAACCATGAGATAGCTGAAGCCAACTATCATGCGATAATGTACAGTTATGATTGCGGATATTGAACCCTGTTTTCCAGTTGACGAAGGAAGCGATCGTTGACATGTAAACAAAACAAGTTGTGAACTGGGTTATTTAACAAAAACCCTCCTCCAAAAAGCGCGTCCTTTTTAAATTTTCAATAAAAGAAATCGCGTGAATTTCTTAGCAATCCACTAGCTGCTCATCGTACCACGCGTTTTTCAAAATTTCCGAGGAGGGAACCTTTGTGGCCGGAAAAAAATTACGCAACACCTTTCAGATTTTGTCAGCGGCACATACGTCATTGCGCAAGTAAACTACGTGAAAGTTGTGCATGTGCCAAGTTTATTCTGATCACAGCCTGCCTAGTGGTATCGGCTAGAAAACTCGGCGAGGCTCACGTTATAGTACATAGTCCTTTCTTCTGATTGGTGGTATGCGTAACCACTCGTGTTTCAGTGTCTTACTCATTGGCTGAGGGGAGGGTGCTATTGCTACAACCGAACTGGCCATAGCATTGTATATGTTCAGAGCTGGCGTGGCGTGTGTTGTTGCAGTTGGTAAAGCAAACCAATTTTGATCCGTCATGGATGAGGTTGAGAGTGTCTGTGCAGAATGCAGAAAGCCGTGAGTTTTCATCGCTTTTTGTCCGTATTTAGTCATTCCAATGAGCGTTAATCTTTCACGCTTTATCTTACCATAACGCTTTCCTTACGACAGGTTGCTCGAGAAAATAAGCCTTAAATTAATACTCATAGGTGCCCTGACTTATTCATTAATACGTTTTCTCAAAAAGCGGTTGTAATGCTGCATCTAAAAGACGCAACGCGAACTTCTACTTTATACTGCGGTTCATTTGGAACTCAGCGACAGCTTCCTTTACTCATATCGCGAAGTCAACTCAGATGAAGGCGTCTGACGGAATCTACAGTCAAACAAGACGTTTATTTTTCAACTCTAGAGGCCAACGCAGCGAGTGAGGGGCGTTTCATAATAGATGATTCATGAGTCAGAGGATCGTTCTCAGATGGCACGCGCATGGGCAGCATACACAAACCCAGTGGATGTGCGCATGGGCTGGTAGCAGTCCGGTCTCATCATGTGTTAATCCTTAACCCGGCTTCTTTGCGGGAAAAAGTACGCCAGCGTCCTTTCGCTCTGATGTTCCAGCATTGTGTCCACGTAGGTGACTAGCAACGGTATTTTAACCAGGAACCACCATCCTTATCTCATTTATTGAGAGATTTGAGAGGGGAATTAGCTTTATTTTGAAATCTTAGGTTCAGAGTTTTCAGCAAAAATTGGCTCCATTCACTGTGGCAGTAAATAAGTTAAGAGATTATTCGACAGTCAAAGAAACGATTATTATGGGGATAGTTCAAGTCTTAGCTTCGGTATTTCTGTCTCTTCGCACGTCAGATAGCGCGCCAGGAATGGCAATACAGAGGCTCGATAAGCCGATGTGCGACAGGGTATAAGACGGAAGTTGCGGCGCATCAGGCGTGAAGACTTCGCAGACATAAGATCGGAATGTAGGGGGTGGGCAACGTCATCTAGAATTCGACCAGCAAATTGCTTGACCGCATTGAAGTGTCGTTGTAAGATAGTGTCAATTAAATAAAGATTAGAAACACCAGCAGCAGAAGAGAGCATGCGGAGGACTCGTTTCAAAATTAAAAGGTCCTTTTTTAGCAAAGCAGGAAAAATGACAGGAGAACAGTATAGGATAAGAGGAAGAATGCAGACATCAATGAATCGCCAGACTAAGGGTTGAGGTGTGGGGTAGGAACGCAAACGACGTATGTAGTAAAGAAGTTTACGAACTTTAATAAATAGGGACCCAATATGGAGGGAAAATGAAAGATTTGAGGACAAAGTAACGCCGAGGTACCTGAAAGAGGATACTTCGTGAGGAAGAATGTCAGAGGAATCAGGATTAGGAGAGGGCCGCAGTCGAAAAATACACTGAACGGATTTTCGGTTGTTAATTAGGAAACCATTTTCCTCCGACCACGCTAGGACATGGTTTAGGCCATCCTTTAGAGACCGGAAGTGTGTCTGACTTTTGGGAGGGTCTCCAAAAACCACATCATCAGCAAACATGACCAGAAGACAGTCATTAGGGGACCTTAGATCGTCAGTGTGGAGGAAGAAAAGGTGAGGGGATAGAATGGAACCTTGAAGAACACCGCAGTCATTGGGAAGGGTCGAAGATTTCCGCTTGCCAGATTGGACAAATTGAGTGCGGAAGGTAAAATAATCTCTAAGCCAAGAGACGACCCAGCCTGGAGAGCCGCATGCGGAGGTTTTGGTAAGGAGAAGAGGGCGCTGGACAGTATTGAAGGCGGAGGTCTAATCAAGAAAAGCGCACGCATACTCGCGGCAACCCTTGTCTAATGCTTTTAGAGCAGAGTGAACCACAAGAGCAAAAGCATCTAAAGTACTCCGTTTGGCTTTATATGCAAATTGCATGGGGTCGGAAAAACTGGAAGAAAAAGGCTTTATGATATCTAGGTCAACTCTTTCAGCAAGCTTTAATATTGTAGAGGAGCAGGCAATTGGACGAAAAGATTAAGGACCAAAGTTAGCGGGCATTTTAGGGATGGGAGTGATTCTCACTGTACCCCAGGCGTCGGGAATCTTGGACTCCATGAAAGACATATTGATTAGGTGCGTTAAAATAGGGGCTATCTGAGAACTGCAAGATTTAAGAAAAAAAGGCAAGACACCAACCAGTCCGGCAGCTGTTGATCCACGGACATTTTTAAGGTGTTTCGCTACTGTTGCCAAAGACACGGGTTGGAATGTGCAGGACTCCATGAAATGGCTACTTCTGTAGGACAAAATCCGCTAATCACAGTTACCTTCTCCCGTTCATGGAGACTTTAGTTGTCCGTTAAAGTTGTGCTTGACTGTAGGAAACAGACAGATTCATTCTCTCCAGGTTCATACGGAGGCGTCTTTCCAACCCAACTACACGCCAGCAGAGAGGCCGACGCGTGGTCTATTAGTCCTTGAACTTCGGAAGAGAACATGGTTTAGTTTTGAAGAAGGAAAGGCGATCGTTGGGACAAGAGCTCTACTAGCCTGACGTTTCGGATTCCTGCTCGAACCCACCCTCAGAGACAAAAGCAGATACGATCGGTTCATGGACAAGGGGCTGCAGTATTTATAAGATGCAGTCGCCATGCTATCGCATACCTATGAACATTCACGGCTCTCCCCTCCATCCGGGAACGTCGCACTTGTTGTGCTGATTGTTTGATGGCCGACATTCGCGTCGTTAATTGCTGCAATTTCATCACGTGCGTTGGGTGTTGGTGTGATGATTGCTCGACCATCTGATCCACCGACCCTGGAGTTGGGAAAAGTGTTCACTTGTGCGCTCCTTGCGTGGCTAATTACTCCGCCTGGGCGAAGCCTCAGCACCGAGTATGGAAGGGGAATGTCATTGCACTTGTTAAACGTCAGGCTAATAAAGCTCTTGTCCCAGCGATCGTGTCTCCTTTTTAAAGACTACTTCCTGGGACTTGTCTCTTCTGTTCTATTGGCAAGATTTAGTAATCAACAACAAACATGGGAGGCCGCCCATGCCGTTCTTCTTTTGGACGAGTTCGATTTGAATGTCTGCGAGGCTGACACGTTAGACGAAGGTTTGAGCCGCATCGAAAACACCACCTGAAATCATTTGCAGCAATACGCAGAGCATGTATCAAAGATCGAAAGGCCACAGGTCCATCTCAGATATATACATTCAGTCATTATCTCGTTTGCAGAATACCGGTTGTCCAAACGTGTGGATTATTACTATCAAAAAACAGGCAACTTTGGATTCACTTGTGAAGCTATCTGTTTAACTATTAAAGTGCGGGGTTTACCAAGCCTCGACGTCTTTTGGGCCTTTCGATCGCCGCGATATGACCCAGCGGACAATGCTCCTCTGCTAGATAAGCTTACCATGCGGCAGGATATCCTGATCGTATGTGACGTTGATGCACGTCCGGCTCAAGACTGGCTTTCAGCAGTCGCCTCCTGAGAAAGACGCTCGCGTTGCTGCTGAACATTCACCTCGCGTCGCCAAATAGAGAGCACGAAAGATAACAAGCCAGCTGCCTTTACCTTGTCCGCATGAAATTGCAGGAGAACTTTAATGAAATGATATGTCTACCCCCCCCCCCCCCTCGGTCAAAGTGACCACTTCGGTCTGTTGAAGGAAGGCGGAGATTTAGACCACATTAAGGCTGACATTATAGTCACTGTGTGGCAATCCGCATTCTCCGCAAATGTAGTCGAGGACAGAGACCGGTTCTATAAAGCACTGCACAGGCTCCTCACAAACCACAGCCCGCTTCCACGAACAAGGTTCGTAAACGGACCTCGGTGGCTGGAACAGTCTTTGCATTGGCGAAGCGAACTAAAGGCGGGGCTTTGAAAATGTATCCCACTGGCTGAATTCACGTATACATGCATAAGTATGCAATTCAGAGAAATCTAGTCAATGGTCTGGACGGTGCAGCGAATATCCCGAATTTATGATAGTTTATATTTGGGTTGGCACGCGAAGCAGAGATCCCATACTTCTGCTGAAGACCGCTGACGGCACAGATCTCTTTCAAAATGGGGCGACAGCTAATCAATGACATTCTATCGTTACTAGTCGCTTTGCGACTGTCGGAGGGAATCTAGATCGAGACTTATTGGCAGAACGGGGCGGGTGTGTCCCGTCCCGGCCGTGACACTATTCGTAACTCCTATCACGCATAAGAAACTTTTTTGCTTCGTGAAGCCAGTGGAAAGGTGTACACCTATTCCTCATTGAATAAATATCCGATCTGCAGCGACTGATGCGGCGACGCACTGAAGAACTTCGGCTTGATTAAATGCCTATGACCAATCTCGTAGAACCCAGTGGTGGAACAGTTGCGTCAGGTGCGTCTATGCGCATGTTTGTGTTTCTGGTCTCAGCTGGTGGTGGGAGTTATGGTTGATTACATGAAGGCAGACAAGTCCGAAGGAGTTCTGTATTACTTTGCTCCAGAATCTGTCCTCTCCCGTCTGATATAAATATATATGCAATGAATAATTTCCAAAATTATTCGCTTTATAATTATCTGGAGTCATATATCAGAAACCACAAAGGAGACGTTGGGGGACCATTGACGAGCCGAGCCCCTCGCAGCTGTGTCACGCAGCGGCAGAATATCGGTGAAACACGTGCCTTAACTTTTAACTAGTGCCTATGTCGGGATTATGGTATACTATATTTGATAAATAAATTTTATACTGCTGGCAGTACTAATCGTATGTAGAATAGGCATTACGCGGTTATTCCAGAGTAGTCGATGTTCTTCGACTCACATTTTCATCAAGATTTCGGTTCTGACCCCAAAATGTCATGTCTCGAATACTTAATTCCATGTGCTGCACCGGGAAATTTCTGGACAATCATTATAAATATAATGGTAGATGAGCGCTCTGCGATCATGTTTGAAACCCAAGATGCAACGTGCCGTAAGCCGGTCGGTGGTCAAAACATGGGGTTCGGGATGACCGGTTGATGACAGCTAACAAGCCAGAAATGGCCATTCCAGTCTCCCTTTTCTTTCTCGGTAATACCATACTGCCTATATCATGCGCCGCTGTGCGGCTGTTAGTTGGGCTCGAGAGAGAAATCTAAGGCACAAAGGAACGAGTTAGTTTCGTACGAACGATCGGTGAGCGCTCCTACTATTGCATGTTCTTGATCGAAACCGACAGGGCGACGGGCTCGTGGCCCAGCGGTTAGGGTCGTGGACTTCTGACTAACAGGTGGCGAGATCGAGCCTTGGGTGTTCTACACTTCGGGGTTGGGTATGACCGGCTGACGACGGCTAATAATCCAGAGATGGTCATTCCAGTCTCCCATGTCTTTGTCGCTAATAAAATACTGCCTATATATGTATCGCGTTCATCATTTCCCGAAGAGGATGAAGAAGAAGAAGAGACGGCGATTCATAGGCCTTATTGTACTCGGACTGACTTTCTGAAACTGCTTCGATTCCGTCATCAGAGTAGCGTGACTTTCGTTCCTGCCGGTCTTGATTTGTTTAAACTTGACGTTTATCTCGTATTATAGACGTGCTCGATGCACGAACTACCTGTATAGCGCTGAATGGCTTGGACCTCCACGGGGCTGACCGCTGACAGGCTTGCATGACCTTTGTGCCCTTTGTGGTCGGCGTAAATTTTGTCAAATGAACGTGCCGCTTGGCCTCCCCCACGTCAGCGGTTGGCTGATCGGTCGTTGCTGTTCACGTGACCGCATCGGTGAGGCAGTGTTCTGCTTTGGTCACATGACCTCTGGCCCCCAACTTCACTTTTTGGACTGAGCGACGACTCTCGTTCCCGCGCGCTCGCTTGTCTTACTATTCCAGCCCGGACTGATCCGAGCCTTGTACACAGCGCCTGGTAGGCGGGATGTAGATCTATAGCTCAGTTGACTGTGCCAGTCGAGGACCAACGTTCGAGCACCAGTCTGGACATCTTCTCATTGGATTGCACAACCGCCCTAGATTTCTCAAAGGCGAAATTTTGGTTCAGTTTTCGTATGTGGGAGATGATGAACGCTATACAATGTCTGAACGTCGAATGTTTACGCATGTATATATACATATATTGGAACGCAGGAATCCCAAGAAAGGAACTAATGGTCTTCTTTAATGTCGTTTCATAATTCACATCCACACCACTAGATTTCCCAAGCCAATGCACGGATGAACTCCTAAAATCCTATTACACGGATGTTCCAGCAGCAGCCTTACTTGTATTCATGGACCTTTGTTTAGAAAACAATTTTTCGTTCGATTACCAATATTGTCAGCAATTAAAAGGTGCTCCAATGGGAGCACCTATATCTGGCTTTTTTGCCGAGGTGACAATGCAGAAATTGGAATCGATAGCTCTTCCCTTAGTTAAACCTAAGTTATGGGCACGATACGAAGACGACACGTTTGTCGTCGCTAAAAAGGATCAACTAGACATGCTTCAAAGCACAATCACTTTAACCATTCCAGGAATTAAATTAACTGTCGAAAAAGAAGTTAACAATAAACACCCATTTTAGATATTCACGTAAAGCGTAAGACTGAAGGAACATTACAAACGCCCCTTTACGCAAAGCAACATATGTGGAAATAATTCTACACTATGAGAGCAACAGTGTAATCTCTCACAAGCGGAGTACTGTCAAAAGTCTGATAAATCGAGCAAAAACACATTGCTTTGATAAAGAAAGCTACCAAGTTAAACTCCACTATCTGTTTGGATTATTTTCCCAGAACGGTCACCCTAGAGACTTCGTACGTCGACGCATGAGACAACAAGAGATAAAAACAAAGGACCTAGATAGCTCCATTCAAGCGCCGAAAGCAAACACTTGGCGAATCCTTCGTTACTTCAGGAATGTGTCTGAACTTGCCGAAAGACACTTGGGGAAACACCGGATAAAAGGTACGCACAAGCTGACGACTACTTTAAGCACCTAGCTTCTACATCCTAAGGATAGGGTTGACTATTTCGATATGCATTAGTGCCAGTTTTCAATCGACCGCAAAGACAAGCTTTCTGTGGTTTATGGCCACATCAAACAGAATAACCCCAACTTCGCCTTTTAGAAAACAAGAGTGATCGGCCGGGCCAACGATAAGATGGCCAGATTGATGCCCAAAAGTTGGTCCTTGACTGTCACACATAACAGAGGTGTAAATCTGTATATCGCCGACTAGGCGCTATGCACAAAGCTCGAGTTAGTACGGACAAGGCCATCAGGGTAGTCTAGCAAAGCCACTCATGGCCGACAGCTAATGCCACCGGAATATAGGGAAGAGGTCGGTCAGAGGTCATGTGACCAGAACGGGACACCACTTCATCGCTGCGCCCACGAGACTGAGAGCAACTCACACGAGCCCTAAAAACTGATCAGTCGGTTGGGTGACGAGGGGGAGGCATACAAGCATGCTGGCTATCCAACAGTTGCGAGGGTCGCAAAGGGGTCAAAGGTGGCATGATAACACCGATGGTCAATCTCGGAGAGGTCACCACTAATCAGCCGCGAACAGGCAGGTCGTAGTTCATGACTTGAGCATGATATCAAGACTGAAGCAATCCAGACCAGCAGGAACAGCCAACACACCACTCAGATAATGGAGACTAGAGGGTTTCCAAAACTTCAACTGAAATTCCACCTGACCCGCTTTTTGTTTTTGTCTTCTTCGGGAGAAGATGTAAACGATATATTTATATATATTTCGAAGAAGAATGAGTCCTTTGGGATAAGGAACAAACTTTATTTCGTAAATTTTCGAGTCTGGTTCCCCAGCTCGTCTTCAGACGTGTAGTAAGTGTGAAGAAACAGTCAAAATTTAAACAATGCCGAAAAAGTCGATATTGCTCTGTCATGACTGAGGATGGGTTAATGCTGTGGGCTGATGTCACGTCTTGATTGGCTATTACCTTTTCCATTTTTCTTTGAGACTTGTGTACATGTTATCAAGGTCGATGCGTCGATTTATGCATGAATCATCAGAGTGAATGGCCTCTAGGAATTCTCGGCCTTTCTTATATGGGAGGTAGGCATCCCAAGAATTTCTAGTTGAGGGCGAATGTGTTTCTTGGGAAAAGGGAGGTTTATTGTGTAAATTTACCACGACTGCCTTCCTGTTCGCCATCAGAAGTAGACGATAGGCAGATGTGCCAACAAATTTAATATCTTAAGCGCAGTTAAAACTCGATAGTTTCTTGGCGTTTGCGCGATTATGTGGCCGCCATGTATGTCAGTCTGTTCTGATTGCGTTCGTCTCTTCTATTTCTCCTTGAAATCTTTGTGCGCAGCATCCAACTCGATGTGCCGGTTGATGTGTGATTCATGTGAGTCCATGGTCTCGTGTAACTGTCGGCTTTTCTTGAAAGGGCACACAGCGACGATGTGAGTTTAATCAATAGCCGAGGTGGGCTTAGTGTCTGGAGTATGCATGGCTACTTGAGACAAGTGTTCTCGCCTCTATACCGCTAGCTGATGTTCGTGAAAGGATTTAGAGCAGATTTTCCAGTCTAACCACCATAAACGGCATCACATGCATCACAAGGGATTTGGTATACGATTTCTTCCTTGTCCAGATAGCTGACTCTGAGCGTAGAGTGTAGAAGCCAAGTGCTCAAAATATTCGTCGGTCTGTGTGGCACTTTAATTTAGTGCCCATCAACGAGGTTAGGCACCTTAAATGTAAGGCAGGGTCCGCCGGCTATTTGTTTGGCCATCTGATTTGAATTACCTGATTCCTTTGTCTGTGACTAGTTTTGTTTCATGCGTCGGCGTACAAAATCTTGTTGGTATCCATTCTGCAGCAACAATTCACGCAAGCAATTTGGTTCAACTCGATAGTTTTCTTCGTCAGAACAATGCCCTTTTGCTCGACTAAGCAGACTGTTGACAGTCCTCCTTTTGTTAGGGATTGGCTGATTGCTTTTATAAGGTAAACTGAATTTCGCATAAGTTTCCTTTCGGAAAACCGTTGTGCGTAGTGTTCCATATGTCTTTCGCTGTACGAGAACATCTAGAAACTGCAGTTCACTGTCAACTTTATTTTCTAGTGTTAAAGGATCGAACGACTATACTTTCAGACCTTTTCACCTGTAATGGTTACCCCAGCCATTTTTTGAGAAACGCAGGCGCCAAGCGCGCAAACGACGACCACAGGATCAGCAGCTTGAAGACTGGAGGGCCATTCACTACATTAAGGGTCAGCGAGACGGTCTCTCGGCTGTTACAACCTGCCAGAGTAGGCATAGCCCATCGACCCCAGGCAACAATTCGGCACCGTTTGAGGTAACCTAAAGACACACTACTGCCTATAAACTCCTCAGCATTTGTCTACAAAATAAGCTTTACTGATAGGGACTACAACTAAGCTGGAGAAACCGAGCGGAAATTGCCCAAGTCGCCGACTCGGATGCCAGAAACAGACTCGCAACTTGCAACTCGCGTTGGCGAAACAGGTCATACTTCCGATCTCTAGGAAGCTACTATCTTAGACCAGGCAGGCTCGAAGGCAGAGCGATTAACAATTGGGGCGTGGTACTCGGATGTTAACTCCATCAACAGGCATTTGGACGTTCCTGCAGCTTACATAGTCCTACGTCATTCCCTTCACAAAGCTCACGAGAAGAGGACCACACAGAAACTTGGAGGGTCGCACAGACAGTGAGGCGATGAGCTTATTCGATGAGGGCAGCTAGACTGATTAACTCCGGGCATGTTAACCACCTCCCTCCTCCCGACGAGGAGGCGGCAACTCATAACGACAGTCCGAACGTCGCATCCGACGATGTCCACCGTATGCTCCACAACAGGGTGGCAGAAGTGACGGTGACGTGCGCGTGATTTATTGTGAGAGTAGACTTACATTTCGTCTACCCCACCCCCTTCTCCTCGCCCTCCTCCTCCTCCTCCTCCTCCTCCTCCTCCTCCTCCTCCCCAACCTGGACTCACACCTTACGCATTTTAAAAAGCCTGCCGAGCACCCCCTGAAAGGGCGAGGCAGCTAGAGAAGAGAAATATCGATGAATATGAGGCATACTTTCTGTTCAAGAAAGTGCATTCTACGCTCTGAAAATGGCGAGCCGACCACGCCCTGTGAACTGTCAACATTAAGCTAAACCTGCTTTGGCGAGCTCTCTCCGTTTGTCAAATAAATTAGGCGAAGACAGTTGCAGTTTGGACTTAAGCTGATATCATATATGATCTTCGCTTTGCTTTGGATTCATGAAAACGACGGCAGATCCACAGTCATCGGATGTGATCCCTTCTTCTCATGCTTACACAAGCAATTGGTTATGTATTAATGCAACAGCTGCGGCACGAGAAACAATCTCCGGCGGGGTCGTTTTTGAATGTTCGGTTAATGTTAATGTGTATAGCTTGCATATTTTTGTATGTTACTGACGCCTGGGGCTGCTTTAACTCAGACGTTACATTGACCAAGGTTTTTGCGTTCAATTCTCGCTAATCTTGCCACATTTTTAGGGCGTCTTTGAACGGAATCCTAGTTCTATTGGGTCAAAAGTGTAAGCTTCTGGAATCCATTTAGTCATCACAGAAGAGCTGCGTGAAGATGTGAATTATTCTAGCAAAATGGAAAACGCATTTTTTCAAAGTCAGCCATCTGCCACTCTATATTCTTTCATTTCAAGCAAGATCCCTGTTACCTAGGCCGCAGATTCCTTAGACTGGCCTACTTTTTGGACACTAAGGTGTCTGGTACTGTCAGCACGGATCGCGATTTGACTTCCGAGCGTGTCCAATTGAGATTCTAAACTGACCCCAAAGCGTTATTTGTTTCGGTACTAAGCACTGATCTGTTATCCTGCCGATTGCTACGTACGTCTAGAGGGAATGCAACGCAGTAACTTTGGCCGGTCCCACCACTGTCGTTAGAAGACCATCTTAATAGGTGTTAAGGGCGAATTCGGAGACAAATCTGAAGTTGAAGCAGTTTGTTTTGGTCAGCCAAGCCCAGCCTGCTTCCCCTACTTTCGTTTGCCTTGTAGCCGCCACTGACAAGGTAGTTGTGAGTAATGACTACCGCTACGGTTGAAGTTTTTGTTGATTCGCAGTCTAGAGCATCGGGCACGGTTATGAGGTCCGCCTTCAGCCGGTCATTGACTGCTAATCACATGATCCATAGAAACCATTGTGGTGGAGGCCGTGGGAGAGATTCACTAGGGTAACCCTGACTTTCTAGGGGTTAATTTGGAGGTTATGACTTATGGCCTGCGGCAGACTTCCGCAGCTAAGTGGGAGAAGTTCGGGCAGTGACATAGTTTGAGCAGCATTGTCCTGTAGTGGGTAAGACTGATTTATATGTGGGCTTCCTAAACAGGATATGATAGCAGGAAGTGCCTGCAATAGGAGTGGTTTTAAGCCAACTCCCAATCAAATAAGGGTTAAGTTAAAGGTTAGGTCTAGGGTTAGGATAAGGGCTGGGTTTATTGCTTGATCTAAAGCCAACGATAAGTTAGGTTGGGATGAAATTAGGGACTTAGGCAAGAACAAGTTCTAACTGCAGAGTTAAGGTTAAGGGCAGTGTTAGCGTCAAGATTAGGGCGACGGTTTAGTTTTATACCAAGATTATTGTTCGGGTTGGGACATGAGAATATTTTGCCCCTTCTGGAATTATACGCAGGGCCACCCTTGTTTATTGGACGGGACTTTTCCATTCCATGTCCCGTATAGGGGGGGGGCATATATTTCAGTTCTGCCGGGCAATGAGACTGTCAACTTCCGATATCGAAAGTACTCTTCTGTATGTGGTACGCACCACGTCTACTATTTACTCACAGCAGGATTGACAGGCTAGTCTGTTTGTAGGACGATGTAACGGAGACTGTGTGCTGTTAATTTGGATTCTGTCATGTTGTTTCTTGTGACATGGCAGTTTGTCCGTTGATTCTGACTATGTCCACCGTGTGCTATACAACAGGGTGCAGCAGGCACGGTGACCTGCGCAGGAGATTAGTTTATAATGGTAGAAGACTTGCGCAGCATCTATTGCACTCTCTCCTTCCCCATCTTTCAAGACAGAGCCAAGACAATGGGGGGCGGAATATGGGGCAGGTGGTTGGCACGATGGGACTCGCACCTAGGCGAGTCATCACACCATCTGGTCCACAACAACAACCACCCACCAGGTGTCAGATGGACGAGGATGACGACTCGGCAGACATGCCCACCCCTAGTATACCCAGCGGAGCGCTAGCGCATTTACCGGCAGGAAACTAGGCGTTAGGGAACTGCCAGCGCATACCAGGCTTCGAAGGCTTCTTGCGACATACCAGTACAAACGCATGCATGGCGACACCTCAGTTAGGCTTTTTAGGCCTCTCCACCTGATGCTATGCAATCTGACAAAGAATGGCAAAACTTGGGAGGCTGAATTTCGAAGCCAGATTTTCGCGTCTTTTATACACAATTTAAGCCTCATTCATCGTACAACTTTCCGCTTATTAGGCACTTTTCGCACCGTGTGAGATGTCCATCCAGCCTAATTCGCTGATCCAAATAGACAGCATTGGGCTACTGCTGTCCAGTCCAGGCAGTATCGATTGCGTCTGGATGTTCGTCTAGACATGCTTAAGTGAGGCTTTTCCCAAAGGCGGACGCATGGCCTTCGCCCCTTCCCCTTTATTTTGGGGTAATTTAGAGTTTATGGCTTGTAGCGGGCGGCAGACATCCGCAGATAAGTGGGTGAAGTTCAGGCAGTGACATACAGTGCGTGACCGATCTTATGAAATGTTGGCCGGAATTCTGAAATACGTTTTCCATTAGGAAGGATTACTTTGGTGGATTTGTAATGCTGATCATTAAGCGGCATGATCCTATAATATTTCAGACTCGGCAGGATGTCGACCTCTGAATGCACTTCATTTCGACCTCCAGTAGAGACCGTACTCGGTAAATAATGACTCCTTAAGTAGCATGCACTTTTCACATTGATTTTCGATGGTCTTGCAAATTCAAATATACTTTATAGTAATCATGTATAAAAATATGTTTTCTTTTAGCCGTTTGATAGAGGATCATGTCATTTTAAAATTGTATACTTGAAGAGGGAGTATAATCAGGTGTTAAATAGTTTTCTAACTTCTGAATAATTTAGTGCCTGGTCAGCCGTTGCATTAGCGCTTAGTGATTTCAGTCTACCATCTGCATAAGTACCGCGTGAAAAGGATCCCATATTCTTCAATGCCTTTACAAAGATACCGTACAGAGTTCATAAAATATTGTAATGGATTCTGATTATATTGTACCTTTCATGAAAAGCAGTGGTAAACGGACAGGTATGATGCTGCGTGAATGAACATTAGTCGGTCTTAAAAAATATCATAATTAATAACTTTTAAAACCTAATTATACTCCTTCAAGTATACAATTGTAAAATGACGTGATCCCCTATCAAACAGCTAAAAAAACATATTTTTATACATGATTACTATAGAGTATATTTGAATTTGCAAGACCATCGAAAATCAATGTTAAACGTGCATGCTACTTAAGGAGTCATTATTTACCGAGTACGGTCTTTACAGGAGGTCGAAAAGAGATGCATTCAAAAGCCAACATCCTGCCGGGTCTGAAATGTTATAGGATCATGCCGCAAAATAACCAGCATTGTAAATCCACCTAAGTAATCCTTCCTAATCGAAAATGCATTTCAGAATTTTGGCCAAAATTTCATGAGATCGGTCGCGCACCGTAGTTTGGGCAGCAGTGGCGGGCAATGGGTAGGAATGGTTTATATGTGGGCCCCCTAAACAGGTCATGAGAACAGGAAGTGCCTGCAATAGGAGTGACTTTAAGCCAACTTCCAATAAAATTAGGGTTAAGTTAGAGGCTAGGTCTAGGGTTAGGATAAGCGTTGGGATTAAGGCTAGATCTAAAGTCAACGGTAAGATAGGTTGGGATGAAAGTACGGGTTAAGGCAAGGAGTTAAGGTTAAGGGTAGTGTTAGGGTCAAGATTAGGGCGACGGTTTAGTTTTATACCAAGATTATTGTTCGGGTTGGGACACGAGAATATTTTGCCCTTTCCGGAATTATACACAGGTTCACCCTTATTCAGTGGACGGAGCGTTTTCATTCACATGTCCTGTATATGGAGCGACATACAATAGGTGGGCTAACTCATGAAATGTCAACCGAAATTCCGAAATGCGTTTTCGTTTCGAAAAGCTTAATTAAGTAGTGTTGTAAACTAGTCAGTCCCGTATAGTGGGGACATATATGTCAGTTCTGCCGGGCAATGAGACTGTCAACTTCTGATAACGAAAGTACTCTTCTGAATGTGGTACCCACCACGTCTACTATTTACTCACAGCAGGATTGGCAGGCTAGTCTGTTTTCAGGACGATGTAGCAGAGACTGTGTGTTCTTATTGGATTCTGTTATGTTGTTTCTTGCGACAGGGCAGTTTGACCGTTGTTTCTGATTATGCCAACCGTGTGCTATACAACAGGGTACAGCAGGCACGGTGACCTGCGCGGGAGACTAGTTTATTCTGACAGTAGACTTGCGCAGCATCTGTTTCACTCTCTCCTTCCCCATCTGTCAAGAGAGAGTCAAGAAGACCGGGGGCGGGAGAGGACGCAGGTGGCTTGCGCGGTGGAAGCTGCACCTAGGCGCGCTACCACATCCTCTGGTCCACAACACCAACACCGCAACAGGGGCCAGAAGGACGAGGATAACGGCTCGGCAGACATGTCCACCACCTGTATACCCAGCGGGAGCGCAAGCGCATCTGCCGGCAGGAAACCAAGTGTCAGGGAAATGCCAGCGCATACCAGGCTGCGAGGGCTACTTGCGACATATCAGTACAAACGCATGCACAGCGACACCTCAGTTGGTTTTTTAGGCCGCTCCACCTGATGTTAGGCTATATGACAAAGAATAGCAAATCCTCGGAGGCTGAATTTCGAAGCCAGATTTTCGCGTCTTTTATACACACTTTAAGCCCCATTCATCGTACAGCTTTCTGCTTATTAGGCACTTTTCGCACCGTGTGAGATGTTCATCCAGCCTAATACGCTGATCTGAATAGACAGCATAGGGCTATTGTTGTCTAGTCCAGGCAGTATCGATTGCGTCTGGATGTTCGCCTAGACACATTTAAGAGATGCTTTTCCCAAATGTGGGCACTTGGTCTTCGTCCCCCCCCCCCCGCTACTTCCGCGTTAAGGCCTACTTAGTTGAAAATAAATACAATATGAGTGAGTTATAATTACTTGCCTGGATACTTGCGATGAATGTCTATCCCCGCGTCTTCGTTAGTCCGTGCAGATAACTAACTGCACTAATGTCATCTGTCAACGAGCCTCCCCGGGAGCTAGAAATCGCTCGATGTTCGTCAGTCGACTTCTCATGCTGCTTATATTTGGGTCGGATCTCATTTCGTAAACAAGCCCCAGCCGGACCCCTAACCCTAACCTTAACCCCTAACGCTGACCCCCAACTCTTAATCCCCAGCCCTACCAGGTACTGTTACGAAATAACATGTTGCCTATATTTGTGTTGCACACAGAGAGGAGGCAATCATTATCAAGTACGATCATCGGCTGTGAATGTGTGGACGACTAATTTTGATAGACCTGCGATCGCCCAGCAACATTATCCCCCCCAAAACACCAAATAGTGTGCTTCCACGGAAAACATATGTTACATCTTTTTCTTCCGATGATGATGATGATGATGAAGAGGAGGAGGAGGAGGAGGAGGAGAGGGGGAGGGGAGGAGGAGAATGAGAATGATAGTGGCGATGGTGATTATGGTGCTGCTGCTGCTGAAGATGATGATTATGATTATGAGGACGATTATGTTGATGACGACGACGACGACTACGGTGATGATGACGATGAGGATGGCTTGGAGAGTTAAATCGAAATTCCAGGAGAACAAAATGCTCGGCGACTGAGCCTCCTTCGGTGATGGGCAGTGTATGCAATTTTGAATACCTAAGATACGAATCGCAACTGTTAATTATTGAGAACTGACATTTGCATCGGTGATTTTCGGACGTACTGTCATACATTTCCGTTGCGTTGGCGTTTCTTCGACTTCCGATATGGGTGCCATCGCATGCGACAACAGCTAGCCTCCGCGCCGTGACTACTGATCGCAGAGTCATGAAGTACTCTTGTCGCATCAACTGTACCAACAGGCGTCATTACGTTCACAAGGTTCACGACCAGACGACCACACAGAATTTAAGAGGGTCGCGCAGACAGCGAGACGACGAGCTCATTTGACGAGGACGGCAAATGGCCGCTAGACTGAATAATCCCGAGCGTGTCAACCACCACCGTCCCCCAAAGAGCCGGCAACTCACAACGGACAGTCTTTAAAAAAGCCCGCCAAACATCCCTTGAAAGGCCGGGGATATTAAAGAGAAAAATCGATGAACATGAGACCTAACACCGCATAATGGAACTTTTATCTCTTTTCAAGTAAGTGCATTCTACGCTTTTGACAATGACAAATCGACCACGGAGATGAATGTGATGAAGATTTAAAAAATCGATATGGAAATAGACAGGTCGGTATAGTGACTAGTTGGAGTCTATCGCCGCGAGCTTTCATCATCTCGATGACATCTGTCTGTGTCCGAGACCGGTTTCCGATGCAGAGAGTGTTTCGCTCAAACCACAGCCTAAGAACTGCTCACATCTCCGAAGCCGCTGGTCTGGTGCTTGACAAAGGCAAATAAGCCAATATCTAGTGTCCTCTGTCGGTAAACTCCAATGGTTGCTGATTGTTTTCCGCCGTGCGCGCGTCCACAATGACTATGAGGCGGGGCTGAGGAGCGAAACGGAACGACGTCCTTTTCTTCTCTGATCTAAGACCACATGGGTGAACTTCCGTGGTAAGATGCAGTTATGTAACTCCACCTGATGGACACTATACTTTCGGGGTTGGGGTTAGGGGCTGCTGAGAAGACGAAGATGCGATCACTGTAAAAAGAAATTTATTGGCATGAAGTTTCGGATTCTCACTCGAATCCATCATCAGAGACAGTCGCAGATAAGGGTAATGGTGGCACAAGGAGTGCAGTATTTATAGCACGTAGCTGCTGTGGGACCATATGCCTGCTGTCATTAACAACTCTCAGAATCACCGCTGGGGTCGTAATTGATGCGATGGTGGCTTGTTAGTTCGCGTCTAAGTCATTAATGGCCATAATTTCGTCATCCGTGTTGGATGCTGGTGTGACGAGTGGTTGGTAAATTGGCTCACTGTCACTGGGATAATTGCTAACCGGCGTACTCCCCACGTGACTGATTCCCCGGCCCAGGGAAAATCTCAGCACGGAATGTGGTTAGGGGTTAGAGTTAGGTGCTAGCGTTAGAGGCTAGGGTTAGGATTGGGGTTAGGGATTAGGACAACTATTTCTCAACCATTCAATGTACAACCGCACATTCCAAAAAGCTTTTTTTGCCTACAACGACTTGACTTCGTCGGCTGCTGGTTCCCCGACCCACCTGTAAAAACCCTTGTTACCATCGGTCCCGTATTACAGGTGGCTGGAGTTCGTTTACTTCAGGCGGGGCTACATAGCCACATCTAACCAACTCCGTTACCAATAAAATCTTCGGCTATCCGTACCATTCACTTTGCGAAAGCCGCAGTTCATCTAAGGCTGATGAACAGCAGAACGAACTCCTGTTTTGCGTTATGCCTCTTTTCGCAAAACAGGATTCTGGCCTATTGCGCCACGTGAGAGTATCCTACAGTCAGATCTTGTCCATAACAGTTATTTATATGGAATGACAAGAGGTTCTTCAGAAATGTCAAGTTTAGCTCGTGAATTTTCGAGCTGACAACACCAACCCATCGTCGGACGAAATGAAAACAAGTTAAATTGCCGCACTAAACCAGTTAGCGCAACGAGACAGAGAGACCATTGTCGTGTGAGAGGGGTGGTCCCGAAGTCATGGTGGGTTTCTGAGTAAAGGAGGGAGGAGGGCAGAAAATGTGGAACTCTCACGGTACCTTGTGCTGAAGGGGCAGAGTGGGTGGTGGATCAATGAAAATCAGTGGTAGTAATCGAGTGGATGGACAAAGACGAGGGGCAGGGGGTCTCGCCAACAGATAGTCCGTTTGTGTTCGTTAAAAAGGGTGCTCAGGCGTCGGCCCATATGGCCAACATACACGCAGGGGTAATTTGCACACGGCATGCGATAAATTACATTTTTTTATTGCTCTTTGGGGAATGAATCCTTGACTCGAGATAGTACTTCGCACAGTGAGGATGCCGGTTTGTGGACAACTTTAATAATCAAGCGATTTAACTGTCGAGAGTTTATTGTAGAGGGTCCCCACATATACAGCAGGGAGAAGAATTCTCGTGCCACAATATCTCCGTTTGGGCTACTGTCTTCTGGCTGTGCCTCGTGCTTGAGGCAGTTCTTTACAAAACTAATCGGATATTCGTTAGGTAAAAATAACCGATACAAGTAAGCATGCTCGTTCTTTAGGAGATCGTTGCTGTTACAATAACGGTAGGTACATGTGTAAATCCTGTCTCGTCATGCGTCGACTCTGTAGAGCGTGTCACCCAACTAAGGCCAAATTACTGATGCAGCATGTTGGGTGGGACTTCCTAAGCGCATTACATTTAGCTAGCACTCACTCATTTATCACACTTTAACGCTGAATGCGGATGAAAAGCTTGATTCCCTGCACTTTTATATCTCCCATCAGGCCCAATAATCCGCACGTCATGCTCTGCGGTCACACGTTCTGTCTAAGTCCATGCCTCCTACCAGAGAATTCGGATCAGAAATTTGTTTGCTGTCCATTATGTCAAATCGAGACACGCGTCATCGACCTGAAGCCAATGTCACGTGACCAGCCGGAGAACCTAGACGCTCTCTCTGCCAATTCGGAAACAATGCGTTCCTGTCCGAAACAAAGCCTCTCTCAGCACAGTTCAAAGACAGTTTGTCCAGCCTGCGTCGGCAATTACGAGTCGGAGGTGAGTTAGATGTATTAACGTAGTTGACTCTCACTTATTTGATACTCACAAGGTCCCATGAGTGGGCTTTTGCAGTAAATTTGTTCTGTACTCCAAACACCACGACGGAAAGGTTTAAATGAAATTTTACCAGTCAGCTACTGTCGGGCTAAACGGCTAGGCTATTTTGGTTGTCCGTATACCAATTCTCTCTTGCCTCTGCTCGAATGGGAAATTCTCCGAAAAGATAATAAACATGTAGCAAATTTATATTTTCACACGAGACAGTATATTTGAGGTCTAGAGGCTCAGACCTAAGTTTCTATGTATGAATATATGGACCGAAGTTTATCAGCCACAGCGGATAACCGCGTAATATTCTTTAACTGCCGACAGGCAGCTAGTAACATAATTTAGGGTAAGGTGATTTCATGCGAACAGCACAGCAGACAGGGAATGCTGGAGGACCCACTGTCGAGCCGAACCCCCCGCATCTGTGCCATGCAGCGGCAGAATATCCGTCAAAAACGCGTGAATGGGCTTTTGGCTAGTACCTGTGCTTCTAATATGGTATCTCCTAACCCTTAAATAGGCTGCTTACTACCTGTCGACAGTTAACGAATATTAAACAGCTATCCGCTGCGGCTGATGGACTTCGGCCCAAATATTCATACATAGAATGCTCGATCTGTGCCTATAGACCTTAACTATACTGGTATACTCCAAGTTCGCAGTTAATTTCTAAGGAAATTAAAAAGCTACAAGACCTATAACTGTTTATTCCTGTTTTCTGGAAGGAATGTACAACAACGTATTACTCTGCCCACTTTGTAGGCATTTGTTTAACATATGATACCGTACTTGGGGGAAGAGTGCTCAGTTTGCGTTAGATATGGTTCTTCCAACACTTTTTGGGGTCTATTCATATTATTCAAAAAGCGCATGGCTTTGCGTAGTACATATGCATTTATTACGTGACCCTGTTAGTCGTCTGGGGATTCCGGATTGATCACTTGGTAAATCTTTCTTGGACAGTTAGCTTTCTGCATCAAATGTTATGGATTCCATACGTTGCTTGAAGGATGACTTGATCCAAAGGTGATTCACCTCACCGTTGCTACTGGGGACTCAGATCTCAGGTGGCTAGGGTGCTGACTGTATTTAAGCCTTCCCCTTGCTGTCGCGATTTCGAGTCCTGCGAAGGTCGCCGACTTTTTCATCGGTCAAAATAAAAATATAAAAATATGCAATAAGTTGTCAGCGCCAAAAGCATCAGTGGGTATGTGCATCTGTGTTGAGTCTTCAGCAATGAGTTTGGGAATCATAAGAAATCTAAAAAACTTCCCTTTTATTTCCTGATTATTACTTATGAGCCGAAAAATTCCCATTTAATGAATAGTAGGCATGAAGATGATGTGATTTCATACAAAATCAAAATGAAACCATATATGCTAGGTGGCTTTTCTGTGAGATGTGATAGAGGTTGAGCAAATATCGAAAACATAGCGGAATTTGAAACTGAATGAGCCCAGCACGAGCGGGCCGTTATTGATCGTCGCCCATGCCAACGGCTTCCTCCAAGTCTGTAGAACAGGGGTCAAACAAAAAAACCGAGAAAGAAAGCCTGTTACGCCATCCCCGGCTTATATCTCCAGAGCGCCAGACCCCTTAGAGGGGGAAATACTAACACCAAATGTGAACAAAATCGCCAGAGAGCAATGGTTATTATTCACGGGCTCCCTAAATCCATCGCCGACATTGCCAAGGAGCGGGTTTCGGAAGAATGTACGCTCTTCGAACGCAATGGGAGCAGTTGAAGTGTTCGAAGCCTTCCGTCTCGGATAACGGCAAACAAGCAGTCAGCGCCAACACGTCCCCCGACAGCTCAAAGTTGTGCTGGCCTCCAAAGAGCAAGCCAGGCTTGTTCTCTCTCGGCTCTTTAAGATAAAAGGCTCCAACCCCCGGCGTTTTTTAACCAGACTATTAGTTAGTAGAGAGGTTGAAGCGTCTTTTTCTAGATCTAAAAGACTGAGAAATAGGCTCAACGGAGGTGAATGCAGGTTAGTAATCTACAAAAACCAAGTCTGAACAGGACGAGCCAAAAGTTGATCTCTCGGATCTATCTCTGGACGTAATTTCACGTTTTTTTGTGCCCAGGCAAGCTACTAGAGGTAGAAGAAACTGTTGATGCTGAATTAGCCAAAATCACCTGAGCTGGTTGACATACCGCTCAACTTGCTGAAGGAGTTCGCTAGAGATCAATTCAAACACTATCCGTGCTCTTCCAAGCACTGTCCGAAAGAAGCTTTTTACCCGCCGACTGGAAATCTGCACGGATTACACCACTGTACAGAGGCGGTAACAAGGTCTTGCCATCCAACAACAGACCAGTTATCTTCACTTCCGTCTGCTGCAACAGTATGGAAAAAATTAATTTTGTGTGATATAATGCTGTTCCTGAGTAAAATATACTAATATACGATGCAAAGAACGGATTCTGTAGAGGCAGATCGTGCAAGACAAACCTGTTCTATTGTTTAGAACGATGAAGCCGGGCAGTGTTTCTCCAAACAGCGTTTCTTGACTATGCACTGACAGGATGAGTTGAATTAACCAGGTTGCCAACGACATCGTGCGTTAAACTTTAACCAAAACACTTTCATTGGGAGTTAGCATATGGAGGGAGATTAGATCAGTGACTTGCAGACGCTCACACCCGTATCTCACCTGGTCTGTAGGGTAAGAACGGTTACCACGATGTCGTATAAGCGGAGAGACAAACCCCAGGAAGGAGTCGCAAAGAAGAAGACGATCTATGGAGCAATAGGTTCATTCGCCTGACGTTTCAGACTCCTGCTCGAACCCATCATCAGAGACAAAAACAGATACGGGTAGTTCATGCACAAGTGGCCACAGCATTTATATGATTCACTGGCCATGCTACGGCATGCCTATGAAGATCCATGATTCCCCCTTCATCAGGCATTTTTGTACTCGGTGTGATGATTGCGCGATGGCCGACATTCGAGTCGTTAATCGTTACGATTTCATCATGGGTGTTGGATGTTGACGTGATGATTTCCCGATCAGCTGGCCTACCGACCTTGACATTTGGAATAGTGATCGCCGGTGCCCTTCGCGCCCGGCCAATTACTCCACCCAGGTCAAGTCTTAGCATCAAAACAAGAAGAGGGAGCTCGTTCTGTTCCGAATTTTCACCAAATGTCTAAAATATTTACTCCTCAAGAGTTATTTCGCTTAAGTACACATGAGACAACCGAATATTTATACAAAGAAATTTAAAACCACCAGACCAACTGAATATAAAACAAAGGTGTAAAAAAGCTAAAATGTAACTTTCTGCATAAAATTCCAATTCACTATTAATGTGTGAAATACTGATGAATGAAGTATGCTGTCTTAGGCTGCTCTGACTACTGGATTAATTTTCCTGCCACTAATTGCTGATCCCGGAACTTGTACGCATAGAAGAATCTCATGCATCTCCAAACGGTCGTTTTATTGTACCTGTGATGTTAGTCCAATTCAGTTCAGTCTAGTTTATTTGAAGGAAAGTAGATGTGCACCTTTGCCACTGTCATTTGCTGCACGCAAAGCAGTTATGCGAAAAAATTGGAAAATGAGTAGCGTCAAAGGAAATATCAAAAGCTGTACAGACAAACAAAGTATCTCCTGCTTTAGCAGTATTGAAAAATATACGGTAGGTGGGATAACTGATGAAATGTCAACCAAAATTCCGAAATGCGTCTTCGTTTCTAAAAGATTGATTAGGTAGGTTCGCAAAACTAGTCAGCCTGCAACATAGTTCTATAATATTTCAGTTACCTCAGGATGCCGGCTTTCGAATGAACTGCCTTCCGGCTGCATGAAAAAACTACACTCTGTAAAAAACGACTGCATACGTAGCATGAATTTTTCCCATTGAATTTCGATAGCCCTAAATGTCCAATTATATTTCATGGAAAACATGCATAAAAATTATTTTGCTCATTCGCTAGCCAATTACGTCTTCTTCTAATTTTATTCTCGAAGGAGGGACATAATTCGGTTTCCAAAAAGTTTCTAATTGTGGGACTTTTTGATGCAGTGAAATTGCCGTTCATAAATCGTCATGTCTCTGCGTTTACCAATGTGGCTTGCAAAGTTAACAATATGGATCACATGCACTACTAAATTTTATGAACCCTCTGTGGTCCCCCTTTATTTCCGCAGAGAAATGTGTGGTTTTCCGGCTGGTAGTTTGGAAACCCTGAAGCTAAGTATCACGTTAGAGCCGGTCCAAAATTATTTGGGAATTGGCAAAGATTTTAAAAACCAAATTTTACTTTTTGTTTCAATGCAAGATTAGACAAAGACGTAATTGTGTATCGGGTGAGCAAAAGAATGAATATTTTTGTGCATGTTTTTCATTAAATATGGTTGAATTTTAGGGACATTGAAAATAAATGATAAAAATTCAGGCTTCATAAGTAGTCATTTCCACAGAGTGTAGTTTTTGCATGCAGCTGGATGGAAGTTAATTCGAAAGCCGACATCCTGAGGTAACTGAAATATTATAGAATTATGCTGCAGGCTGACTAGTTTTACAACCCTACCTAATTAATCCTTTCGAAATGAAAACGCATTTCGGAATTTCGATTGTCATTTCATGAGTTAGCCCAACTACTGTATGCACCTACAATAATTGCCGGAATCGCGCCTATGCTACAGTGAAGTTAGTATTATCCGTGATGGGCAA